CCTTTGCCTCCATTAGAAATCCAGGTGCTCCTGACCGTCCCAGACAGCTTGACGAATAACCAAGTCCTTGTATACATCTCTCCCGACTCTTCCCGGGTTCCCATTCAGTCGACATACAGATATGTTCTGCTCGAGCGCTGGGTGCTGGAACTAAGCTCAAGAGATATATACTCGTTTTCTTCCGACTCTGAGAGCTCCAGTGGCAGTGTGTCTCTTTCGACTTTGTACAAGCACGGCATTCCTCTTTTCCGCTCGCTATACTCTTTTCTTCGCGTTCTTCCTGCGTGGAAGTTGTCCAAACGGTTCAGAACAAGACGTCATAATGGGATGAATGGACTTGGCGTCCAGGTGCGGGTCAGAGGTGATCCTGGTTCAGGCCTAGATGAAGTGGGTGTGATGCCCTTCAACTCGTCTCCGGCACTTCCAACCAGCACTCACACATTTCCTTCTATTCAACACCCAATTGGTACTCTCAACCTTACCACTACCTATCTTACTTCGCCAAATTTCAGAGTCGATGAATTGGAAAGTTTGTTGAGCTCCAGATTCATGTCCATGGATACGGGGGGAACCAAGGGGATGGATTTTACGCCGACCCTTGTGAAGAATCAACAAAGAGACTCATTATTGAGTAGTGCTGGAGGTTCGCCAAGCACGAGAAATAGACTCGCAAGCGTAACAGGAGCTTCAGCACCTCACTCACCACCACGAGATATACTTCGTCACCCAAGTTCTCCGCCTCAGCCATACGCATACCCTCATTCTCGGACACCTTCCGATGCAGACTCTATCGCGGAACGATTCGTTATATCCTCACGAACTGTCAGTAATCCATCTAACCCCACTAATTACAACAGCAATCCACCTCCGCCTCCCATCAATGCTCATAATTATCCTATTCTCCCCATCACGCGTGCCACGACCACGACCTCCACTTCTACGCAGCCTCCTTCAGGCATCGCCGCCCGACTGAGGAGGGAATCTCTTGGTAACCGTAATATGGTGTCAGATTCGTATCTGCCTCTTACGACAACGGGAAGCTCCACTCAGCCGTTTCCTTCATCTTCATCTTCAATTTCTAGTATCACCGGCGGTACAGGCAGCTCCGCCCCGCCCACGACGACCTTATTGTCCTCGCCGATGGCCATGCGTCGGCCAGGCCTCAATCCGTTCAAATCAAATACCTTGGCTGGAGCGGGAAGTACAACTAGTACCTCCGGCTCTCCGCGATTGACCAATGCGCTCCCCGGGGCTACTGGGTCCGGCTTGGCTTTGGGCGCTGGTGTTGTATCAAGTTCCCCACTTGGCCCTGGTAGCGCTGGCCTCACATCGCTTTCTTCTTTGTCCAATCTATCGAATCTACCGCGCCGGCCTTCGTCTCCCAGTAGTTTGAGCCGACCATCACCCCCCTCGTTCACACCGTCGTCTATAGGCCCAGCAAGTAATAGCACTGGTTCAGGTAGTATAACTATCGGAGCAGTAGGGACAGCAACAGCACCGTTGAACACAGCTACAGGAGAAATTGCCGTTCCTCGCAAGCGTTACTCATCTTCATTTGGACATCGATATTCCTCGTCTCCTGCGAGAGGGGGCGCTGCAATGAGCGTTGGCAGTCAGGGCAGTCAAGGCGGGAGTGGAATTGTGGAGGGTACAGGTGTAAGTAACAGTGGAGCTGGGGTGGTTGTTGGAAGTCTAGGTCAAACAAGCGTTCGGAGTGGGATGAGTGGGATGAGCGCCATGAGCATTCACAGTGGACAAAGTGCTGGTTCAGGATCTACAGGAGGTGTAGGGAGCAATATTTCTGGAATTGGAACTGGGAGGGAAGGCCCTGTAAATATTGGTAGAGGTATCGGTGCGACACCGGATGTGAGTATCAACCTCTATTCGTGTTTTTTTGTTTCCATTTTTCTATATAAACTTCCTTTACTCATGCTTCCGAATAGTCTGTCCATTCTTCCACTTACCCCGACTTCCACGATACACTTGACGGACAGGACCTTTTCTCGCACGACCACGATGACATATCTACTTTTGTGCATGATATCGATTCACGGAAACCGTTAATCGGACGATCTAGGATGTATGCTGACGCCAATATGTCTCGAAATGATACCGAAGGAAACGAAGTCGAATCCGAAGATGATGAAAGGCAGAGGACGATACGTGTACGAGCGCGGGACGATTCTAGGGAAAGGCTCGCCCTAAATCCAAGCTTGAATCCTTCGCCGTTTTCTCGAGAAGCAGATTTACCTCAAGACCCACCGACCGCATCGCGAGGCGCCGGGTCCTCCTCAACTCGTTCTGGCGTAGTCAAAACTCCACCTTCTTCCAGGCGAGCTTCATACACAGGCCTTTCTCCTCCCTCATCTCCCCTACGCAACGCTATTCCGCTTATAGCCGAAGACGAAGACGATCTGATAGAGCCATCTGCAAACGCTCCAATCGCCACATCCAGTTCCGCTGTTGCTACCTTATCTACATCACCGTCTTCTCAGGCAGTACCGTTATCTTCAGTACCGTCGTCAGCAGATCCTGGAAACTCTAATGCAGCCACAGGTGCAGAAGAAGGCAGCCCGTCATCTCCACCTCAACATTCCTCTCCGATGCTCACGACTGCTTCAGACGTAGAGGCGCGACTAAAGAAGATGAATGATGTGTTTTTGGCTAGCTTGCAAGGACTAGGCGGACGGTCTATAAAGGGAAGGAATGATAAAGGGAAAGAACGCAGAGGCAGTGGGACTCTATGACACATAAATGAATTATTTACTTGCACCATCCGTATTCTTATCTCTTCGACAGCCCTTACTCCTTGAAGTCGATCACGCCCTGACAGCAACGTAACTCCTGCGCGACGCTGTAGGACGCTGTATTTATGCCGATTGCCTATATCGATTCGTTGTGCAGATAGACCCTGAGTGCGTCCGTATTGTTGGTTCGTTCAAGCATGTTCCTCCTCCATTTATAAACATCCAGTATGAGGTGGCTGCTGGTGGCTGCTGTGTTCAGATGATGATATCCGCTGGAGCCCCTTGTCCTCAATATACTTGTGTCACCAACGTGATGTGATACGTCTCGAGATGTACTATCTGATATTTTTATGTGTACCATCGCACGGTAAAAGGCAAAGCTATTTTCTACTGTAGTCTATCAGATCCAGTTTATCCTCACCTGCCTTTCCACTCTGACCAGCATTCCGCTCCTGGATCCTCGCTCTCACGAAAACGGGATGCCTTAAGAATGTTTCTCTATCCGGACGTCACGCTGCCAAATAAAGCTCTCCTCTACACCATTCGTACAAACTGGGAGAACTTGGGAGAATGACCAACTCCCATAATTAGACCAAAACGATAAAGTTTTTACTTTTAAACTTAAGATCTCTTAAACGCCCCCCCTCCCCACCTCCTTATGGCCTCTGCGATGCTATCGATTTTACAGACAAACGCTGTACATAATCTCATACCAAAGCGAGAAAAAACAAAGAAGCAGAAATCGCTACTGAAAGCGCTGGTGGAATTAAATGCGAGGCAATGGGCCGAGTTTGGAACGGGGTCAGAATGAAATTCATCCTTTCTTATCTTTACCAATCCACTGATCATCTTCGCAAAAGTTGGCTCGCATGGATTTGCGATTCAATTGACTTTTACTCGGTCTCATTGAGTGTTACAAACTTGTCTACGCAGTTTGGGAAAGATACGACCGACATTGTAAGTACTTTCTTGGTACAATTGCAAGCTAGTATGTTCATGTATCCTCAAGACTCGCGCGATTACCTTGACTTTACTACTTCGCCCCGTTGGTGCTATACTCTTTGGTATGATCTCAGACCGATACGGCCGAAAGTACCCTCTGGCTCTCAATCTTCTCTTCATATCTTGCCTTGAGCTCGGCGCTGGCTTTGTCCAGACATATTCTGAGTTCCTTGCCCTAAGAAGTCTCTTCGGTATTGCCATGGGCGGCATATGGGGATTGGCAGCAAGTACAGGCCTTGAAAATCTTCCTGTTGAGACACGTGGATTGGCTAGTGGTATTCTACAAAGTGAGGTATTCGCACGTAAACTTCGGGCTATGAATCCGGTCAAGCGGTTTAACGAACGAAGAGAATTCTGAGTTGTCCGAGTATCTACTACTACTTTAAGTACAACTGTTCTTATCTATAGAATAACCAATTGACTACGGCGAAGTAATGTCCGGAGTCTTCTATCTAAAATATACACTGAGGATAAGTAATACGGAACCAGATAAGATACTACGGCAAGTAATCTGTGAACAGTAATGAGTCCGAAATCACTCCGGCTGACGAGAACCGGCTGATACAACACAACCCCCTCGTTAAACCTTTTTGCTCCTGCAAAACAGTCATATCGGCTCAGAGGAAGCTGGTGATAAATATATGAGAACTGAACAATCAGAAAGTAGGGATTTCGGAATATAAGTACAAGTCCGTTGAAATTGTTCGGGGATCAGCTTCTATGTTGATTGATGCCGAGTGCCGGTGATTACTAACGACACGTCAGCTGTTTGTTGATTTCTTTCCGCTGTTGCTCCTCAATCTTCTTCGTTCCTTCGCATCTCGTCGTTGTAAGTCAGCAGAGGCATACCAAAGGGTTGGATCAGAGGGTAGGGAGGAGGAGGAGGAATGAGAGTTGAGGTTGTAAGGCCGGAGCCGGAGGCCATTGTAGAGATGTCGTAGGACATATCCATTCCTGGTCATTAATTGGTAAGTATTTTTGTCCGTTGTATCGCGAATAATGAAAGGTCCATCCCAACGAGGATGAATCTTTGACTGACGTTCATTCTTTCGCAGAACCAAGTCTCCAATACCAAGTCCTCTTTCTGTATACCCATCTTCTCGCCTCGCCGCTTCTTCTTCAAGTCGTGCCAATGCTTGTGAGTTGGATTCCTTTCGGAATCATTCCAAGTTTTTGACATGTTCAAGGCGTTTTTCTTGGAGGACTTGAATTTCGGTATCGGATGGGGGAACTCGCACAGTATCGAAGACTGTATCCTGAGGGAGTCGAGGTTCAAATCCATACATCATGTAAGCTGGAGAAGCTCCCGTACTAGGATTTCTGTGAGCTCGATAAGCAAGCAGTACATCAGGTACGTACTCATCCCATTGATCCTGTCGGTCAGGAGCACAGAAACGCGCTAACATTTGAACCAAGGTGTCATTGAATTTTTCAAGTCGTCCATTTGTTTGAGGGTGATATGGGGTAGTGTGTAGGTGTTTAATAGTCATTCGTTGAAGTAAGTTCTGGAATGCATATGACATGAATTCCTCACCGTTATCTGTTAGTACTGCCTTGGATTTGCCAAACATTGCGATAATGGACCGAAAGAGGTGAATTACAGCGTCAGCGGAACGTTGAACCAGAGGCTTGGCAAAGGTATAGTTTGTTCCCAACTCCATCGCTGTAAGTATATATTGATTTCCTCGTTTCGTCTTAGGTAACGGTCCTATAAAATCGAAGGCATATACGTCTCCTGCGCTGGTACGGGGTAACGGAAACAAGGGCTGTGATGGGGTTATGTCTCGTTTGGTGAATTGGCATTCATTGCAAGTACGTACAATATGTTCCACCATTTCTGAACCATAGGGGATCCAAACTCGACTTCGCAGTGCCTCAAGTACCGAATTCATACCAAGATGACCCAAGTCGATGTGGAGTGACTTGACAACCATTAGTGCTTCAGTGACCGAGGTCGGTACCAGTACGATTTGTGAATCTTCGTTATTGTTGGTGCTGATATCCTTGAATAGTTTTTGTCCATGTACTGAATATCTTTCTGTGTCTCCCGATACTTTCCCAGCGAGTAAGTCCTTCCGATATTTTTCCAAAGTATTGAAAATAGCTGAACGATCGTTTGGGTCCATATCAAGAGGGAAGCTGTAAAGTGGTTCGTAATCTTTATTGGGCACATCGGCATGACCTTCGCGTCGGGATAGGGCATCGGCAGCGATTTGAGATGTTCCAGGACGGTACAAGATCTTTACATCGAAGTGGGCAACATCATCATGGAACCGAGCAAGACGGCGACCGAGGTGCTTTTGCGTTAGGAAGTATTTTAATGATTCATGGTCAGTACGTACCAGCACTGGTGAACCTTCTGTGTATGCATGCCATTTCTTCAAGGCATGTACTACCGCTAGCATTTCTCGTTCCTGGGCTGAATATTTCTGTTCCGTAGGTGTCATCTTCCGAGATTCATATGCTATTGGCCGTAAGTCTTTTTCTTTGAACTCGAAACGACTTTCGGACTTACTATCATCCCTCCCTTTGTCAAGATCCTTGAATGGTGTGAGAGACTGTTGAAGAATAGCACCGAGGCAATTTCCCGATGCATCAGAGTCAATAACAAACACATGCCAAGGTGTTGGGTGAATTAAGATGTGAGTGTTAGTAAGTGCCCGTTTGAGATGTTTGAAGGCCGCGTCGCAATCGGTTGACCAGTTTATAGCAGATCCCTTTTTCGGAGAACCAGCAAGTAGATTAGTCAATGGTAAAGCAGTTTTTGCGAAACCACGTACAAAACGTCGATAATATCCAGCAAGGTTTAGGAAGCCACGAAGTTCAGTTATGTTTGACGGGGTAGGCCATTCAAGAACTGCACGAACCTTATCTGGGTTAACCTGTATACCATTTCCAGATACAATATGGCCTAGATACAGAAGTTCGTCTTCTGCCCATGTACACTTATCGAGGTTCAGCACAAGTTTTTCCTTATCCAAAGCTGTAAGTACCTGTTCCACATGATGTCCATGGTCCTCTTGATTCCTGGAGTAGATGACAATGTCATCAAGATAAACCATAACAAAGATGTCGATAAATTCGCGGAGAATATCGTTCATCATATGTTGAAATGTTGCAGGAGCATTGGTAAGTCCAAATGGCATGACTCGAAATTGGTAGTGACCATACCTGCAGGTGAAAGCTGTTTTCGGTTTCGCATCTTCGGAAAGTCGTACTTGCCAATAACCCGATTTCAGGTCTAAGGTTGTAAAGATAGTTGCATCGTGGAGGTTGACATAGCATTCATCAATGCGAGGTAAGGGGTAAGCATTTTTCCGAGTCAGATTATTAAGTGCTCGTAGATCAACACAAGGGCGCAACGTACCATCCTTCTTAGGGATAAGCAGAATTGGAGCTGACCATGGAGAATCGGAAGGCTCAATTACACCATCCGCTTCTGCATTATCGAGAAATTTCTTGATTTCTTCATTCTCGCGGGGGGAATGTGGTCGACCGCGCACTTGGACAGGTTGTGCAGGGCCTGTATCGATTTCGTGTACCCATTTTCGAGCAGGTGGGTACCCAACCTTCTTCCGGAACAAACCCGGAAATTTATTAAGTGCAAAGTCTTTAAGTTTCTTACCAAATGTGGTTCTTGACTTCACCTCAGACTTACGTTCTTCTTGCTTCTCTTCAATTGTGTTATGCAGGTCCAAGTTCGAATTGGTAAGAGCGGGCGTAGAGGATATGGGAGATTTGATGGAAAGGGCTTGCATGGATTCCTGTTCGTCGATTACGGCTTCGATTGAGGCAACATCCTCGTCTTCGGTGTAAGTAAATTCTTCTGCAGGAAGAGGAGTATATCCAGCTGATCTACTTTCCGTGTGGTATAACTCCCGTTTCTTTAGACCCGAAATTTGCTTAGGTTTGATGCGAACTGCCACACCAGTATTGGGAGCTACAATGGTCATGGAGTTGTCATCCCAGTTAAAAATGACATTGTGACTGGCGAGGAAACTTCGACCGAGAAGGAAGTCATGTCGAAATCCACTATCTGCCTCCAAGATGTACGCGCAAATTTCTTCTTTGATAGGTCCTATCCAGATCCAGAAACGACAGAAAGATTTCGTGACTGTATGGCCAGCACCGGCAATTGTCCGAGGTTCCACAAGATCAAAGATTTTTGCACGTACAAGTTCGGCACTCTTTCGAGTGATATAGTTCCAGTGAGCACCCGTGTCGCTTATACCAAAGGCCCTGAGAATAGCTTCATGTTTCCAAGGCTTATTAGGCAATCGAGGACCATAGAGCATTGCGAGATAGACAGGTAAGCCTATGTTCTGATCGTCGTCGAATGAGAAAGTGAAAACTTCATTCTGTGCAGGCTTTGAAATCAAGGGTTTCGACTCGGGCTTACAAGCTTGAAGGAATGAATCGACTTCCTGCAACGATGCCTTAGCTGGAGTTGCAGATTTCTCTGCAGTCCGTCGGATAAGCAGGGGCAGTTGGTAGGGATGAGTTTTCCTTGCAGCGCGATGAATTCCAGGTCGGAGGGGAAGTGATTCTCCCATAAAAAACATTGATTGGGGGGTTCGTCGGATCGGGCCTTGACTGTTGCCATTAAATCGCTCTTTCCGTCGATCCGGAAGCCGGCAGTCCTTGGAATAGTGACCAGGTTTGTTACAATTATAGCAACGGAACTTAAACTTATCATTCTTTGGCGCCATAGGACGAAGCGAGAATGTATCCAAGTCCATTGGAGTAGGATCGTTCGAGGACACATGAGATCTCGCAGGGGTTAATGTTGCTGATGAAGGATGATTCGAAGAGTTGGAAGTATGTGATGGATGATTACGGCGAGGGTCTGATGTTCGACCAGAGATACGATGATGACGCTCCCAAATACGAGCAGCCTCATACACCTCAGCCATAGAGGCTGGTTGGCTGTTTGCAATATGGAAGCAGAGATCATAGGGAATGGAACGAAAGAAGTTGAATTTCCGATCACCAAAGGTCATTTCGGTGGGTGGAAGCTGCATTTCTAACTTCTGGAATTGAGTGATAAAGTCGGATACGTTGTTCTTGTAGTTACACTTCACAAGCTTTGTTCGAATGTCATCCGTCCTTGACGGATTGTCGAATTGAGCTAAGAGGTCCTTCTCGAGCTTATCCCAGGTAAGTGGTTTGTCTCCGTTTTCCTGTTTCTTCGCCAAGTACCAGGTTAAGGCAGCATCACGGAAGCACCCACTAATGATTACGCCCCAGTCATCCAGTGAGATGTGGGTTGCTTGCAGAAGATCC